GGACTTACGTATTTCCATCTTTGTAAAATGGGAACCTACCTTGCAAGGGATGTTGCAACAATCGAAGAAAACTATGCACAGTGCTTCACATCCAGTGGGTCCTCAGTAAATAGCCTAAGAATGAAGCAAGGTTATGGTTACTTCTGGAAGAGGTGGCTTGGGGGCTGCGACAGGTGCAGCGATTGCCTGATGATAACATCTAGAAAAGCCCTTGCTGGGCAGAGGGGCAGGCGACGACCTCGGCCACTCAGCGAGTCTCCAGGTTTCCCGGAAACGCTAGCTCCAGTGACTTCTCAGACGCTCCTACGGGACCGCACCCAGGGCAGCCGCCGCCACCACCTACTGCAGCCGAAGCGGACGGACCTCGCGACTTACCCTGCAGCCGCTGCCGGGGCCACAGCGAGGTCACGACTCCCGTGACGCATACGCAGCCAGCACGCACGCGCGCGGCGTGGCCCGCCCCCGCCCACCCCGGAGGCGGGGCCGTGAGTCCTGGGCTCCGCCCCGGAGCGTCGGGCCCCTCCCAGGGCCCCGCCTCCCGCTCGCCAGGGACCGGTCGGAGCCGGCGGCTCGCCTGCCAAACCCGGCTGGGAACGCCTGGGCGCTTTTAGGACGGGGCGGGCCCGGGGGTGGTGGCCCCAGGAGCGGTTGCCGCGGGGACCGGGCAGTGACGCGGCCCAAGGGCGGAAGTGAGAAAGTTGTCTGCGTCTCTAGGCGAGTTGGCGGAGCTGTGCGCGCGGCGGGGAGATGGGGGGCTCGGGCAGTCGCCTGTCCAAGGAGCTGCTGGCCGAGTACCAGGTGCGCGGGACGCCTGGCCCTAGGGAGCTCGTGTGCGGGCCTGTTCCCCGGAGCCGGGTCCGGAGCGGGCTGCGGGGCGGCCGCGGCCTCCCAGCGGTCCGCTAATGCCAGCTCTCGCTTTGCCTTCCAGGACTTGACGTTCCTGACGAAGCAGGAGATCCTCTTGTAAGTGCTGCCTTGAACCCCGCCTCCGACCCCGGGATCCTCTAGAGACAGCTTCGGGGGCGCCGTCCCAAGGGAGGGGCGGGGGCTGGCCTGAGGTCTGCAGAGGACCGGGAGCTGGAGGCCAGGAGACCCAGCCCGGGCTGCGCCCTTCTCCCGGCACGCCCTCCCCGCCCTCGCCTGAGGCCCCAGCGTGGCACCGCGGAGCCACCTCACAGCCTCCAGGAAAAGTTAGGCTCTCTGACCCTGAGCTCCACTAGCTTCAGCACTGCCGAACTTCCTGCCCCAGTCCTGCAGGGGCCGACCTTGCCCGGTGGCTAAACCACAGAAGCCTTGGGGAGCCTGGCTCTTTCTCCCAACTTTACCTGAATAATACAGTAACCGTTATCGCTTTCTGAGCACTCACCATGTGCCAGGGACTGTGCTACATTGTTGCCTGCATTACCTAATTTAATCTTTAGGAGAGAGGTATTGGACAATGAAACAGGTTCAGAAAGGTTTGGTAACTGCTTAAGACAACACTCTTGAGTAAATGGATTTGAACTTGGGCTGGAAGCCCTTTTGCCAGATTTTATGCAGGCCAGGGCACTTTGAGTGAGGAGGTGCCTGGGCTTCCTGCGGCAATGGGAAGGAGGCGGAGGCCGAGGAGGAGGACAGTTCAGGGTGGCTGCTAAAAAGGAGGCTTTGAGGGCAAGAGATCCCTGGAGTGATGGTGAGAATGAGATTTTTGGTTGTGCTCTTTTCTCCCTGTTTTTGTTTTTTTTTTTCTCTCTCTCTCTTTTTTGAGACAGAGTCTCGCTCTGTCACCCAGGCTGGAGTGCTGGGGCACGATCTCGGCTCACTGCAGCCTCTGCCTCTTTGTTCAAGTGATTCTCCTGCCTCAGCCTCCTGAGTAGCTGGGATTACAGGCAACTGCCACCATGCCCAGCTAATTTTTGTATTTTTAGTAGAAAAGGGGTTTCACCATGTTGCTCAGACTGGTCTCAGACTCCTGACCTCAAATGCTCCCACCGCCTTGGACTCCCAAAGTGCTGGGGTTACAGGTGTGAGCCACCATGCATGGCCAGTTCTTTAGGGCCAACTTCTGGCCTTTTCCCCAACTCTTCATCCCTCAGGGATCTCTAGAATCAGTGCCCAGCACATAGTAGATGCTCAGTAAATACTTATTGCAAGAAAAGACTCCTAGGCTGTACTGCCTTGTGACATGTCCTTTTGCTTACTGTTGCCTGATGACTCGGAAGTTCTGTGCATGTGGTTTTAGCTCCTCACCTGGTTGATAATGAGCAGCAGGCAAGGAGTGGGAATGAACACACAGGGAAACCAATCGCTGAGAACACCGACAGTTCCCCTCTCTCTACCAGAGCCCACAGGCGGTTTTGTGAGCTGCTTCCCCAGGAGCAGCGGAGCGTGGAGCAGTCACTTCTGGCACAAGTGCCCTTCGAGCAGATTCTCAGCCTTCCAGAGCTCAAGGTGCAAGCGCTTCCCCTGGTTGACACCTCTCCCACCACTCCCTCCCTGCTAGACCCCCTAACTCCATCTGCCACTAGCTTTGAGATCATGGGGTCACTGGGCCCCATTCTGGTCATTTTTCTGCTTAGTTCTAATTTTCTGGGGACAAGGACTTGACCAAAATCACCTGGCAGAATTATCTAGAATGGTGCTTTTCAAATGGGGATTCTAGAACATAATCTTGGAAGTTCAGAGAAGTTTTATCCCTTAAGAGGAGTTGAGTTACCTTATTAAAGTTTGAGGAACACTGTTCTAGAGGCTGATTGCCACTCCGTGGGGCTGCTGCGAAATATCTGTGCAAAAGGCCTGGCCCAGTGCCTGTAACACAATAGTTGTTCAATTAAATATTTGTGTTTTAAAATAACCAGCCCATCTCGTTCCCTTTGTTTAGGATGACTTCTTCCCTCTCTGCCCACACTTATGTTGTATGTGACCTGCCTTTGGGTTAAACACTTGACTCCCAGGAAGCCATATCAGTCCTTTCCCTAACTGGGTCAGTTTGCTTTCCTGTGCCCCCACTGCCCTTCATGTTGGCCCCAAAGCACTGATCGTTCACCCCCACGAGCCTGAGCTCCCTGGTGCCAGTCCTGTGACCTGCTCTCTCAAGTTTCTGGTAGGGTTTAATGAGTGTGTGACCTGGGCCACATCCTGTGGCATTTGTTCTCCTAGGCCAACCCCTTCAAGGAGCGAATCTGCAGGGTCTTCTCCACCTCCCCAACCAGAGACAGCCTTAGCTTTGAGGACTTCCTGGACCTCCTCAGTGTGTTCAGTGACACAGCCACGCCGGACATCAAGTCCCATTATGCCTTCCGCATCTTCGGTGAGAACCAGGAGCAGCCCGGCAGGACACCACCCCTTCCCACATGGGCTTTGTGGTGGCCCTGCTTGGGAAATGGCGTGCTTGTGGAACCTCAGAGCCCCTCCCAACCGTGTCTTTTGGCTTCCTGTGTCTGTTCTCTAGACTTTGATGATGATGGAACCTTGAACAGAGAAGACCTGAGCCGGCTGGTGAACTGCCTCACGGGAGAGGGCGAGGACACACGGCTTAGTGCATCTGAGATGAAGCAGCTCATCGACAATGTGAGCAGCTGAACAGACCCTGCCCCAGCTGGGCCTGGGAGTGGGAGGGAGGGGTTGGGGCTCTGGCCTGAAACTCTCCCTTTCCCAGATCCTGGAGGAGTCTGACATTGACAGGGATGGAACCATCAACCTCTCTGAGTTCCAGCACGTCATCTCCCGTTCTCCAGACTTTGCCAGGTATGACAGTGGTGCCCCTGCATTCTGGGTACCTGCAGGTCCCGATTTGCTGCCTCTGGGCCTAGGACATTGCTACAGGAGGTGGTGCCAGGGTGAGAGAAAGCCCCAGTCCATACACACAGGGCCGGCTAAGCTGGCAGTCTCTCCCCGGGCAGGGGCAGCCCTCCTTGTCAAGGCCTCTCCCCTTGCCACTGCCATTGTCATTGCTCTGTGTTTGTACTAATTAGTAATAACGGTTTAGAAGCTCTGACCCTATGTGTGGGTCCAGAAAGCTCCCTCTGGATGTCTCAGGGAGTTCTTCCAGAGTGGGCTGACACACGGGACACAGTTCGTTCCAAAGAAGGGTCTAAAGGGAGAAGGGGGGTCAAGTTTGGGTTTAGTCCCTACCCTCCTCTTCCAGCAGAAAACCCACCCCTTTTCTCTTGTTCAGCTCCTTTAAGATTGTCCTGTGACAGCAGCCCCAGCGTGTGTCCTGGCACCCTGTCCAAGAACCTTTCTACTGCTGAGCTGTGGCCAAGATCAAGCCTGTGTTGCCAGCGCGGACCACGCTGGCCCAGCCTGGAGCTGGCACTGTGCAGCCTCACCCCGGGCAGGGGTAGCCCTCCTTGTCAGGGCCTCTCCTCACTACCATTGTCATTGCTCCGTTTGTGTTTGTACTAATCAGTAATAAAGGTTTAGAAGTTTGACCCTGTGTGTGATATGAGATACATGGTGTGAGGAAGGACTGGACTTCTCTTCTAGGAGCCTTCGATCATCCTAGGAATAAGCAGCATATCGAGCAGGGGCCAGTGGGAAGTCAAGCCACACCCGTGCTGGCTGTCCCCGTGGGAGGGTGTGAGGATGAAGGGGCAGCAGGAGGGGTGGTGCTTTCCTGTATCCTGATTGGGGTGGTGGTTAGATGAGTCTCTGCAGGTGTCAAGATGTAAAGAACCGTACATCAATAAAGTCTATTTTACTGCACGATTTGAAAAATTAAAAACTTTAACAAAGGACCCCCATCCCATCCCATCCCAACCCTTGTGTCCCTACCCTTGCTAAACTGAATTGGGGATGCAGAATAAAGGGGTTGAGGTAAATGCAATGAACCCCCTGCCTCTGCCTATCAGTGGCTTAAGTTCCCCACCTCAGAGCTGCCCCACAGGGAGATGTTGCTGGCCAGGCTAGGCTGACTCTGGCTCACTGGACCCTGCACAGAGAAGGTTCAGAACCCCTCAGAACTCAGAGAACTAGACCAACCTCAAAAAGCAACTATCCTTGAAGAGGAAGAGCCAGGATTAAACAGTAATTCTTCAGACGTTATTAAAAAATGACATAAAGTGCATCTTATTAAAAAACATATAAAAACCACATAAATTCAGGGCCCCTGTGCTGGGCAGTGTTGATATCCCTTAAGAGTGGAGGAAGGTGAGGGATGGAGGGTGAATTGGGGACTGGGGAGAGGACCAGGGCACAGTTAGTTCCTCGTGTTTGAGTTCAAAAATGGAGAGGGTGGATGTGGTGGGAAGGGACACACGGGTTCTCACGCTAAGATGGAGAAGGGCAGGCAACAGTCTCTTCCTTGAATTCTGAGGGAAAGGCATACATTGTCACTAAGCCTCTCCTGAGCTCATGCTGTCCTCTCGTGTGGCCACAGCCTGATACAGGCTGGAAAGGTCCAGGAGTTGGGTCCGAGCCCAGGACCTGGTGAGGGCCGCAGTGCCAACCTAGCCCTCTGGTCCCTGAGGTGGTAGGATGATGGCAGCAACAACTACATCCTCGGCCGGCTGGCAAGGCAGAACGCACGGAGCCCAAGCTGGTTCTGAATCTGCAGTGAGACAGGGCAGCCAGTGGCAGCAGGATAAGGCGGAAGGTGAAGAGGCCAGTTGGTGAGGGTTTCCAACTCTGTCTCAACCACTTTGGAAGCATCCCCAGTGCCCCTGGGAACTGGAGCGGCCGTGTGCGCTGCATTCTATGCTGTCTCTTTCCTCTCTAGTTTCACATTTTGTTTTTTAAACAAAGGGCTCAGTTTACATAAGGAGCACTGTTTCACCAACCTAGGCAGGCCCCCATATTTGGCCAGGACCTCTGGGGCCATGACTGTTTGGGTGTCTGGGTAGTAGGAGCCTCGCTACTTGACTGGAGAGCAGCAGGCCCGCTGGCTCCAAGGCTCCCAAGGGCTGGGCACCACGGTTGTGTTCCACGAACGGCAGAGCGGAGGAGAGGTCCAGTTGACCCTCTCCGAGCATTCACAGCCCCTGAAGCCAGGGCAGCGTCCTCTAGAAGTCGGCTCTCACACCACAGAGTCACGGATCTCTGAGCCAAGGCGGACTCGGGGCCGGGGGCACACCGGGGATACCTCCACGAAGCTGTCTTGGATGCTGAGTGGCCTCTTCTCTGACTCGGTGAAGACTCGGGCCCCCGGGGGGCTGTCTGACAGGGCCTGGTACCCTCGGTGATCAAGTGGGGTGCTAGGGGGGCCTAGGCCATTGAGTGGGCGGGTCTCGGGGGGCAGCACCACAGGGCAGGTCTTAGGGTGCACGCTGGCACATTCCCCCTGCTTCAGGAAGACTTTCATGCTGTTCCGGTGCCGGTAGAGCAAGAATAAAACTGGGAACAGCACGGCTAGCACAAAGAGTGTGCACATCACCAGGAACTCCTTCCAGTAGGACTTGTCTGCACCCCAGCTGGCCTGGCCACCGGCTGGTGCACTCACACGCGATGTGCTGATGATGACGGGTACACTGCCACGCTGATCTGTTTGGTCTGCCACCCCGTCCTCTACCACCTCTGGGCAGTAGCTGGCTACCAGCTGTTGGAAGCCCTCCTCTAGCGACCAGCACTGGAACTCCCCCAGCTGTTGGGTGCCCACCAGCAGCAGGTCCCCAGTGGGTAGCACATGGCAGGAAGCCGAGGCATTGATAGGGGCCCCGTTGTGCAGCCAGAGTCGAGTCGCCAGGTTGGAGAGGAGTGGGCAGGCCAAAGTGTTCACTGTGTTGGGCTGGAATTGGACTTGCTTACATGGTTTCTCACCTGCAGGCAGAAAAGGCATGGGGTAGGGAGGTGCCAGTGTCCACAGTAGCTCCAAGCTCCCCTGCCTCCCTCTGGGCTATGCCCCTGGTGCCATGATGGGCAACTCTGGGGACCCCAGGACTCAGTCTTCCTGGGGACCTGCTTACAGGGGTAGGGGGTGAGGATGTGAGGAAAGGCATTTACAACATCTGTGCCTGGGGGAGCCTTCCAAGAAGACTTGTCCCCACCTCTCTCCTCTACCTTTTGAGGGGACACCTCACCTGTTGGTACAAAAGACAGGGACACAACCGAAGAGATGCTGCAAAGGTCCTTGGCATTGGCTCCCTCGATGTCCTGGATCCATGGCCTGAGGACCAGAGAGAATTCTGGGATTGGCCAGGAAGTCCGCTGAGCCCGCATTCCCTCATCCCTCACTGCAGACTTGGGCCTGGGCAAGGGCCTTTCCTGAGCTGATTCCCCACCCACAGGAGTCAGCATCTCCTCTGTCTACACATTATTTCAAGTCAAAGCTAAGATAACACTTCCCTTAATTACATAAAAAGTATGTAACCTCAGTGGCCGGGAACGGTGGCTCACACCTGTAATCCCAGCACTTTGGGAGGCCAAGACTGGTAGATCGTTTGAGCCCAGGAATTCAAGACAACCTGGGCAACATGGCGAGACCCCATCTCTACAAAAAATAGAAAAATTAGCCAGGCATGGTGACGCACGCCTGTTGTTCCACCTACTTGGGAGGCTGAGGTTGGAGGATCGCTTGAGCCCAGGAGGTCAAGGCTGCAGTGAGCTGTAATCACACCACTACACTCCAGCCTGGGCAACACAGAGAGACCCTGTCTCAAAAAATAATAATAAAAAATAGTATGTACCCTCAGAAAAATATTGGAAGGACAGCTGGGATCTGTATGTATAAATCTCTCTCTCTTTTTCTTTTTTTTTAATTAAAAATTTTTTTGATGTGTTCTCATCTTTTTTTAAAAACAATGCACATGCATTTATCCGTGTAATAAAAAATAAAGGACAGTAATTCTGGATACACTCAGGAGACAGATAACCAGGCATGAAAGATGAAAACACTATAAAAGGCCGGGCGCGGTGGCTCAAGCCTGTAATCCCAGCACTTTGGGAGGCCGAGACGGGTGGATCACGAGGTCAGGAGATCGAGACCATCCTGGTGAACACAGTGAAACCCCGTCTCTACTAAAACTACAAAAAACTAGCCGGGCGAGGTGGCGGGCGCCTGTAGTCCCAGCTACTTGGGAGGCTGAGGCAGGAGAATGGCGTGAACCCGGGAGGCGGAGCTTGCAGTGAGCTGAGATCCGGCCACTGCACTCCAGCCTGGGCGACAGAGCGAGACTCCGTCTCAAAAAAAAAAAAAAAAAAAAAAAAAAAAAAAAAAAGAAAACACTACAAAAATCACAGCATCTACCAGCCAGTGATCATGACAATTAACATTCTGGGGTGTCCCTCCTGGCATACGCACCAAAACTCACCTGGTTTTTGTAAAAACTGACACCAGGTGTATCCATATGTGAAGCAAGAACACTACAAACAGGAGAGTTCCCAATGTTATATAAAATATATGAAAGTTTGGCCAGACACGGTGGCTCATGGCTGTAATCCCGGCACTTTGGGAGCCCAAGGTGGGTGGATCATTTGAGGTCAGGAGCTCGAGACCAGCCTGGCCAACATGATGAAACCCTGCCTCCACTAAAAATACAAAAATTAGCCAGGTGTAGTGGCAGGCGCCTGTAATCCCAGCTACTTGGGAGGCTGAGGCTGGAGAATCGCTTGAACCCAGGGGCAGAGGATGCAGTGAACTGAGATTGCGACACTGCACTCCAGTTTGGGCAACAGAGCAAGACTCTGTCTCAAAATAAAAAAAAAAAAAAAATGAAATGAAGTAAAATAAAATAAAATAAAACAAAATAAAAGGATTTTTGTTTTCTATACACACATGTAGTAAAATCTGAGAGGATAATATATCAAAATCTCACTGTGATTCTCTCTAGGTGGTGGGATAAGGGGTCGTTTTTGTTTGTGTTCATACCTATTTTCTAAATGAACATTTTATAACCCAAATAGGTTATTCTGAAACCAATTTTTACTGGGTTTGTTAACGGACTGTTTCATAGCCCTACTATTACTAAAGCACGTTCACACGCTAATCCACATTTTTTCCGCAAGGCTTTTCAAAGTTGTGGTACTTCATACATAACCAAATCATGTCCTCATTTCACAGGTAGCCAAGACAAACACATAACTTCTTGTCTGAATTGCACTTGAGAGGAAGCAGGAGAGCTAATAATTATGCTGAGACAGTGGACATAAATAAGGCCATGTGGCAGTCCCGAGGAGGGCCCAGGATGGTGCTCTGAAGCCACCTGTGCAGCACTGGACAGATGAGAAGGGGCCGTTGGGAATGCTCACCTGGTGGCCAGCTCAGGCTGGTAGAGACTGACGTGCTTGCAGCTGGAGCCGCTCCAAGCACAGTAGGGGTCCCGGGCGAGGAGGCAGTCCCCACAGCTCCGGTACAGGCTGCAGTTGGCCACAGGCACCTGGACTACGCCCGAGTGTGAGGCCGCATACAGCAGCCCCTGCACAGCCAGACACGGGGATGAGAAGCGGGCACGGGCAGCCAGGGCCATTGCTCATGGCCACCCAGCTCGTATGCCTCCCAGAGCCACCCCCAAGAGGCCTGCTATGTAACCGGCGACCCCACTTTCTAATAGCTCATGACTGGATCCTGTATCTTTCCATCCTGCTGAGGCAAGGGAGGAGAAGCTGGGTGGGGACTGCTTGGTGCTCATGGAGGGCACCCCCCCAAGCACCCTGCCAGGATTCCTCCTTGGCCTGCTCACCCTGTGGGTGTCCAGGAGCAGATTCTGCACCGGCTGTCCCGATGAGAAGATCTGCAGCTCCTCGATGATGTGCACCCGGGGGCCCACGCTCACCGCCTTGTGTAGCCGGCCATCACCTGGGGTGTGGACAGGACTCAGGCCCAGGGTGGACCCCACCGCCCATGACCCACTGGTCACGTGCACCCCTTCCCGAGCCTGCTGGGCTGCAGACACTTACCAGTGCCCAGGAAGAGGACATCGTAGGCGTGGTGCAGGCCAGGGACGCGGTGTACAGCCACGCGCTGGTAGCGAGCCTGGGGCTGCAGCAGCAACATGCGGCTTCGGACCTGCCCGTCCATCAGGAAGTGGTCCTTGAGGAAGTTCAGCACACGGTCTGGGAGCTGCAGGGACGAGTTGATCTTCCTTTCCCGGGCACTGTTGGTGATGCACTAGAGGAGAAAGCAGCGGCATGAGGCCAGCCACACCTGGGGGCAGCAGGCAGGATGGGGGCCCTGGTTCCCAGTGGACAGTAGCAGTGTCTGTCCCCCGGCCCGGAGCCAGGGTACATCCCTGGCAGTGCTCTACAGAGCCGGTGTGCACGTCTGAGGGAGCAAGGACAAAGCCCAGGGTATGGGGAAACCGAGTGCTTGGAGGGCTTCCTTGCTGTGCCTCCTCCCCACCTACCACCCCAGCCTCATATGCCCAGGGGCCTCAAGAACCAGGACCACACTCCCTGCTCCTCCGCACCCTTCACCAGTGCTCTCAGGAAGCCCTGGCTGGGCAGAGCGCCCCAGCACAGTTGGCAGTTCCTTCCTGCCCCACCTGGGGCTTCCTGAAATTCTGAGAGGTGCTCCACACCATCTGTCAGGGGCTCCAGCGGGACCCAACTCCAGCTGCCCACAGCAACAACGGCTCGCTGACACACCCTCTTTTGGTTTCCCTCCCTCCTCCTCTCAACCTTCTTATTCCTTCATGCTGCTTCCTGGCATCCCCTCCCTAATAAACTATCTGGCACATCTATCCTTGTCTCAAGGTCTGCTTTCAGGGTAGCCCGTTAGGCTAGAAGGGAGGAAGAAAGCACTATTTCCCCACAGCTTGCCCATTCGGTCACTTGATAATTAAATAAGCAGCTTGCAGCTGAGTAAGGGAGAGGACCAAGTGAAGAGATGATTGTAGCAGCCCGCAGCAAGCGCCCTGATGGGGACACACTTGTATCCTGAAACAGAACTGAAGACATTCTAACATTCATAGTTACCTCTAACCCAGTAGACAAAGCAGGCCTGGGCCTATGTCCCATATTAAAGATGAGAAAACAGATTCAGAGAAGCCAAGTGATCTGCCCGAGGCTAGGCAGCCCTGGTTCCAGCATGGTGTGGGGACCCACATCTTCCTAGCACCCCTTCTGGGTACAGGGAGCCAGTACCCACCGCTCCAGGCCGGGGTGTGGGCACCGGGTGGGTCACGGTGTACCACTGCTGCGTCTCACGGTTCACCTCCTTGTAGAGGCCACTGAAGACCCTCTGCACGTCCTTCATGGTGAAGACACAGACGGCAGAGCCTTCTGTAGTTCCCCTTTGCCTGCAGAGGAAATAATCAGATTAACCCAGGAGCCCTGGGGGCCCCAGCCCCAGCCACCCTTCACCCTTCCATCTCCAGCATCTGGGGACCCTACCACTGGGAAGTGAAGACTCCATAGAAAAGGGTGTCACGCCAGTCCTGGGGGCTGGGGCTCAGGGTGAAGACGTCCTGCAGCACATTGAAGGGGAAGCCATCGTCGGGCCGTGAGCACAGCAGTTGGGCCTTGAGGAAGGAGGTCCAGCGCTGCTGCAGCACCCGCTCTCCACCCTCATCACCCTGGAGGGAGAGGCAGAAGGGCTGGGCTTAGGCACACGCTGAGCCATGACAGGGATGCATGGCACAGGACTGCTTTGATGGACCCACCCCAGACACCAGGACTGAAGGGCAGGAGAAGGCCAGGACCAACTTCCATCTAAAGTCAGAAGACCTGGAGGCAGTGTACACGTCCATCAGGAGGATGGTCCTTAACATGACCAAGCAGAGCCTTCCTAAATATGGAAAGGAGGCTGCAATGCACTGCTGAGGAAACAAGGAAGCCAAAGGACCCCAATACAGCCTAATGCCATGTTCATGAGTGAGTTAATAATATAAGCACAAGGTTGGGACTGTACTTATATTATTAATGCCTGTAATCCCAGCACTTTGGAAGGCCAAGGTGGGTGGATCACTTGAGCTCAGGAGTTTGAGATCCTGTCTCTGCTAAAAAATACAAAAAAAATAGCTGAGCATGGTGGTGCATGCTAGTAGTCCCAGCTACATGAGGCACTGAGGTGAGAGGATTGCTTGAGACTGGGCAGTGGAGGTTGCAGTGAAATCTCACCACTGCATGCCAGACTGGGTGACAAAGTGAGACCCTGTCTCAAAAAGGAAAAAATAAATAATAAATAAATAAATAAATACACAGTTACACATATGCCAAAAAAAAAAAAAAAAAAAAAAAGATGAGGAGAGGGCATTCTAAAATGTTAACAGTGACTCCTTCTTGTGCTGGGGTGGTAGGGTGATAACACTAATAGTTCACATTTAGTCACTGCCCACCACATTTCTAAGAGCTTTACGTGGATTAATTAAATTAATTCACATAACAACTCTGAGGTCAGTGTTATTATTCCTATTTAACAGGCAAGGAAACTGTTCACCGAGGGGGTGAGGACTTGGCCAAGATCCTAGGCCATCAGGGTTTGAACCTGGGCAGCTGGCCTCTGGGGTCTGTGCCCTCCAGCTGATGCTACAGTGCCTCTTCATCTTGTAAGCGATTTTTGTGTGTACAGTTCTCTATTTTCACTTTTTTTCTTTTTTTTTTGGAGACAGTCTTGCTTTGTCACCCAGGCTGGAGTGCAATGGCACAATCTCGGCTCACTGCAACCTCCACCTCCCGGGTTCAAGGGATTCTCTTGCCACAGCCTCCCGAGTAGCTGGGATTACAGGCATGTGCCACCACACCCAGTTAACTTTTGTATTATTAGTAGAGATGGAGTTTAACCATGTTGGCCAGGCTGGTCTCAAACTCCTGACCTCACGTGATCCACCCACATCGGCCTCCCAAAGTGCTGGGATTACAGGTGTGAGCCACCATGCGCAGCTATTTTCACATTTTTTAAGTGAAAAAAAAAAAAAAAAATGGCTGGGTGCAGTGGCTCATGCCTATAATCCCAGCACTTTGGGAAGCCGACGTGGGTGGATCGTTTGAGCCCAGGAGTTTGAGATCAGCCTGGGCAACATGGTAAAATCCCATCTCTACAAAAAATACAAAAATTAGCTGGGTGTGTGGGCGCACACCTGTAGTCTGAGCTACTCGGGAGGCTGAGGTAGGAGAATTGCTTGAGCCCAGGAAGTCGAGGCTGCAGTGAACCGTGATTGTGCCACTGCACTCCAGCCTGGGTGACAAAGCAAAGATCCTGTCTAAAAAGAAAAAAAAAAAAGTAGTAAGATATTTTAATTTAAAAGGTGAGAGAGAAAAGCTGCTAGCCAAGCTGTACCCCCTGGGGGATGGGAAAGGCCATGCATGGATGTGGGTGATCTTGCAGCTGTGGAGCCTTTGAGGTCCCTAGGGTGGCCACTCTGCGGCCCCATTCCCCTCACCTTGCAGATGCGGGCAATGCGGGATACGATGGTGTTCTCAAAGAACTCAAATTCCTGGCCAGTCTCGCTGAAGAAAAAGTAGATCTTGTCATCATCGCCTTGCAAGCTGCCCAGGCTCTCAGGAATGTAGGCTGAGGCCACAAAAGCTGGGTCTGTAGGGACCGGGTCAGGAGCTCAGAGTCAGCCCAGAAATCCTGGAGACAGGCCCTGCTAGGGGAAAGGGCCCCCTTCTAGGGCCCAGTGAACAGGATCCCTGCCCTCTGCGTGGTGGCAAGAGGACTTCACCTTGCAGCCAGTTGAGGGAGCTCTCAGTCTTGGTGGGGCGAAGGCTTTGGCTCCGGGAGATGGCCGGGTCATTCCCTTGGAAGCTGCTGACTGTTCCAGTGTAGAGCTCGCCATCTGCCAAGAAAACATTCCCATGGGAACGGGCTCTTCAGCGCGGCCCCTTCTCCCTGCTCAGGACCCAGAGTGACCCCAGCACTGCCCATTTTGCCTGTGGTGGGCAGAGAAGGAAGCTGGAACTTGGAAAAACCAAACCCAAGGCAAGCCCATGGCCATTCTGTGCCCTTGGAAATAAGCATGGCATGAACCCAGCCTGTCCAGAACTAGCCCTCTGGCCCTGCGTGCCCCCACATGGAACTTCAATGAACCCAGCCTGCCCCCAACACTCACCAACCACCAGGGCCGTGGACTTGAAATTCGGGTCGAAGGGACAACGGCCCTTGCCATCTTCCAGGAGGACATTCCCCTTCTCGTCCCTTGCCAGGGTGAAGTTCTCCACATTCTGCAGGAGGGTGGACACACAGGCTCAGGGGCACTCCAGGGAATGAGCAGCGGGCTTGGTGAGAAAGCGAGAGGTGTGCAGGAGAAAGCAACTCTACAGGCAGGTGAGGTGTGCGGGACAGAAGGGGTCAGGTGTCAGGGAGGCTGTCCTGCTCCCCCAGGACACGGGGCCGAAGGGTTTGAACCCGGACAGTCGGCTTCCAGAGAGGCCTCACCAGACACAGGGCCGCACTGTCTCACAGTGACCCGATGTGGGACACGTTATCAGACCCACCTGGCGGAGGAGGTGAGGCTTAGAAAATGATGTGAGCCTGGCAGGGCGCGGTGGCTCACGCCTGTAATCCCAGCACTTTGGGAGGCCGAGGCGGGCAGATCACGAGGTCAGGAGATCAAGACCATCCTGGCTAACATTGTGAAACCCCGTCTCTACTAAAAAATAGAAAAAACTGCCGGGCGCGGTGGCTCAAGCCTGTAATCCCAGCACTTTGGGAGGCTGAGACGGGCGGATCACAAGGTCAGGAGATCGAGACCATCCTGGCTAACACGGTGAAACCCCGTCTCTACTAAAAAATACAAAAAACTAGCCGGGCGAGGTGGCGGGCGCCTGTGGTCCCAGCTACTCCTGAGGCTGAGGCAGGAGAATGGCGTAAACCCGGGAGGCGGAGCTTGCAGTGAGCTGAGATCCGGCCACTGCACTCCAGCCTGGGCGACAGAGCCAGACTCAGTCTCACACACAAAAAAAAAAAAATAGAAAAAATTAGCCAGGCACAGTGGCGGGCGCCTGTAGTCCCAGCTACTCAGGAGGCTAAGGCAGGAGAATGGCGTGAACCCAGGAGGTGGAGCTTGCAGGGAGCCGAGATCGCGCCACTGCACTCCAGCCTGGACGACGGAGCAAGACTCCATCTCAAAAAAAAAAAAAAAAAGAAAGAAAAAGAAAATGATGTGAGCCTGGAAGGGGCAGCAATGTGATTCAAACCCAGGCATGTCTGACCCCAAAGCTGGGCTGCAACCCACAGCATCAAATGCCACCCTCTGCTAGGGGTGTGTGCTGAGGAGGGGGTGTACAAGATAAGACAAGAGAATCAAGCAAAGGAGAGGGAGAGATGCTGGAAGAAGCAGGAGAGGGCAGCAAGGCCTGGGTGGGACAGGATCTTCATGGGTGAGTGACTGCATGCCTCCCTGCACAGGGAGACATGGCTGTCAGGGCTGAGCTTTGGGCCAGGGTGTGGGGCCTCAGGGCTGTTGGAGACCAGTGGTACCCAGAAACCTCCCTCTGGGCCCTGCCTTTCACCAGGGGTCCATGCTAAAGAACAGGATCCCTGAGGCAGAAAGAGGGGCAGTTCCCAGGCCAGCCTCAGGGCTAAGGACAGGGCACTCACAATGTAGGTGCACATGGGGCTGAAGGCTGCTGTGCCACAGGTGAACAGGTGACTGCTGCTGAGTGGCAGGAGGATCTTGATGTAGTTTTGACAGTCACGCTGGGGGAAGGAGTGAGGGGATATCAGGCCCATGCCCAAGCATGCCACCAGGTGGCACCGCTGAGCCCTCCCTACCACACCCAGGCCCGGCCTCTGCTCCCAGGACTGGGGATGGGGCACTCAAGTTCAGGAACAAAGAACCCACGGGTTTTCTGGGGCACGGTGGAGCATGCATAGTGTGTGCTGCAGGGAGTCCCGGGGCTCAGCTAGTTTTGTGACTGGCAAACTTTCCTTCGGCCTAGGGCTGAGGGCACAGAATCCTACCCCCTTGAATTGTACTGGCCCCCAGGAACGTCCTCTTCAGAAGCCACAGGCTTCTGAAAGCCTTGAAAACTACAGGCCCCTCCCAACCAGGTGGGAAGCTGATGAAGCCACAGCCCAGAGCAGGAGGAATGCTTAGCCCTGAATCCTGAACCCCAGATTCATGCATCACCTTCAATAGGGTGTCTAACTGGCACCTACAACCAAGCTTCTGGTCCTCCCTAAAACACATGCTTCCCCCTGAGATCTTGCCACTTTCATTAATTCTGTCTTTTCAGTCACTGAGGCCCTAACCCCAATCAGCCTTGACACTTCTTGTTAGTCATACCCCATAATTTCCCACCCAGAAATCCTGGTGGCTCCATCTTCAAAATGCATCCGGAATCTGAGCATTTCTCACTGGTCCGAGCCACCACCATCACTCGCTCCTCACTGCTCTCCCTCCTCCTGTCCTTCCCCATGGAGGCTACTCTACCACAGTAGCCAGAATGACCCTCTTAGTACACAGGTGAGACCAGTCACATCTCTGCTCAGCCCTCCCCTGGCCTCCCAAATACCTCCCTCAGAGTGAAATCAAAAGTCCTGCCCCTCCTCCAGATATGCCACGGTCGGCTCCTCACTCTCTGCTGATCTTGGCTCAAATGTCACTTTTTTAACAAAATGTAACCTGACCACCTTATTCCATCCTACCCACTGCCAATAACATTTGTAAACTGACTACTTTTTCTTTTTCTTTCTTTTTTCTTTTTTTGAAACACAGTCTCACTCTGTCACCCAGGCTGGAGTGCAGTGGTGTGATCTCGGCTCACTGCAACCTCTGCCTCCCAGGTTCAAGCAATTCTCCTGCTTCAGCCTCCCAGGTAGCTGGGGCTACACAGGTGCCCACCACCATGCCTGGCTAATGTTTTTTTGTATTTTTAGTAGAGATAGGGTTTCACTATGTTGGCCAGGCTGGTCTTGAACTCCTGAGACCACTCAGGAGACCGTGAGATGGAGACGTTGTGATCCACCTGCCTCGGCCTCCCAAAGTGCTGGGATTACAGGTGTGAGCCACCGCACCAAGCCTGCTTTTTCACAATTAAATCTCCAGTACCTGCAAGTACATGGACACAGAGTGGGTGCTTAATCAATGTTAGCTGAATAACAGAATGGCAGCCAGGATTTGAACCTGAACCTGTGTCTTGATCCCAAGTCCGGCACTCTTTTGCCCTCACCTTACCCAGCACCTGCTGCACTTAGGAGCAGGAGCAGGAGGCCTCTAGGGATGATGATGAGTCCTCCAGGAGAACCTGGGTTGAACCAGATTTCATCCTGTGCTTTGGCCAAAACCACATCAGAATCTGTCAGATGTGCTATATCAGGAATCATTTGCAGAGGGACACAACTCTCAATCTACCCAATCCCTGTTCATGCTGGAAGCTGACTTGTTAGTCCTTGTGTCTATGAGCCAGGTGCCTTACACCTATTAGCTTCCTGAATCCTCACTGTAAGCCCAGTGAGACCGGATCATTATCCCCATTTTACAGGTGGACCCATTAAAACTCAGAGAGGTGAATCTACTTGTCAAAGGTTGTAGAGAGGTAAGTGTAGTGCTGGGATTCAAACCCAGGCCTGGCCATCTCAGAAGCTTAAGCCCTTTCCACCCTACCTGGCTGCATCTGCTCCCACCTCCCGCCTCTGGCCTGGATGGAAGACTACCACCCTCCATCCCTCCTGCAGCTCAGCTCCCTTCCAGGTGCGGGCTCACCTGTGGGTCCTTGCCCTTGAAGCTGCACTGCTGTTTCTTCTCTGCGTCTGCACTCCAGAGCAGCTAGGGAATGAGAAAGGGGAAGGTAGTGGACAAAATGGAGGGTTTGCTGAGCCTCCCTCCTCTCCCATCAGCATCATCCTCAGACCCAGAAGGTCAAGCTTCCAGTCCATCTTCCCTCTGTGGTCCTCTGCCCAGCCTAGCCAGCTCCAGGCAACATCTCTCACCTCTTGGTACTCCCCGCCTGGCAGGAAGCTGAGGTTGCTATTGAGTGCAAAGAGGGCCTCGCGAGCGCCCACGTACAGGGTCCTGCCATCCCTGCTCAGCAGAAGGGCCGTGTAGTTGGAGATGTTTTCGGCTTCGAATCTAAGGAATGGCCGCTCTTCAGAGCCTGGGGAGAGGAAGATGGATATTATTTGGGGCCACCCCTCCCAAGGGAAGCCTCTTAACACCAACCTCTAGATGGACTCATTTAAAGGAAGGTAATCAGCAAGACAAAGGGCTGCGGGCAGGGGGATCAGGTTTGATGGGCGAGCACCATTCCTGGACTCTCAAACATTGCATAAGAAACAATGTAGAGATGTATGTATGAGAATACTTACTACGGCACCCTTCACACTAATAAAAAACTGGAAACCTAAGAGTCAGTCCAACCAGAGGCGACTTCGCCAAAATCAATTATGATGCCCCAATCCAACTGAATACTACACAGTTGGGGGGAAAAAAAAGGATGTATTAGAAGCTCCAGAAAAACAAGCAAGAAAGGCATGATCAAAATATCAAGCAAACTAAAATATAAAGTGATGAGTTTTGAGCACATAATAGAATATTAAGAAAGGAAAATACATTTAACACTTTCCTTTGAGTAACATTAGACCCAAAGAGAAGAAAATGTAAGTGGGCCTTGCAGCGAATGTGATTTGCATTGACAGAGTAATGCAAATGTTGAGCACTGGTTTTTTTTTTGAGACGAAGTCTCGCTCTGTCACCCAGGCCGGAGCGCAGTGGTATGATCTTGGCTCACTGCAACCTCCACCTCCCAGGTTCAAGTGATTCTCCCACCTCAGCCTCCCCAGTAGCTGGGATTACAGGCATGCACCATCACACCCAGCTAATTTTTGTATTTTTAGTAGACATGGGGTTTCACCATGTTGGCCAGGCTGGTCTCGAACTCCTGAACTCAAGTGATCTGCCCACATCAGCCTCCCAAAAAAGCAGTGGTCTTTAACTTTGAGACTGATGGTTATTACACAGAATGGGAGTGTTTTCAATTTTGACCTCAGAAACCAGAACTGACGACAGACAGACATCATAATATGGCAGCAGGGTTGTCACAAGCTGCTGCCAATAGCTAATGGAATAATAAATACAGGTCAAGAGTACTGTTTTATATTGCAAAGGTAACCAAATAAAGGAAGTGAATACAGTACGGTGACAGAATATGTTGCAGGGAGGAAGGGAAGGGAGATGTAAGTGAGGGAAAGTCAGGAAGTCAAATAAACCAAGAAATAGTGGTATAAGTATTTTACTTAAAAATGTGGAGGAAATGGGCCGGGCGCGGTGGCTCACGCCTATAATCCCAGCACTTTGGGACGCTGAGGCAGGTGGATCACCTGAGGTCGGGAGTTTGAGACGAGCCTGACTAACATGGAGCCCGTCTCTACTAAAAATATAAAATTAGCAAGGCGTGGTAGTACATGCCTGTAGTCCCAGCTACTCGGGAGGCTGAGGGCAGGAGAATCGCTTGAACCTGGGATGCAGAAGTTGGGGTGAGCCGAGATTGCGCCATTGTACTCCAGCCTAGACAACAAGAGTGAAACTCCATCTCAAAAAGAAAAAAAAAAAAATGGAGGAAATAATGGTAGAACAAGAACCCTAAGAACCCTAAATGATTAAAAGTCCCTTTTAAATTGGCCTGGGGCGGGGGAGGACACATGTTTTTGCTTATTATAATAAGCCTTTCTATACTATATATATATATTAAAAATATATATATACACGTGCATGTATCCTTGATAAAAAATTTTATTTAGTTTTTGAGACTGAGTCTCACTCTGTTGCCCAGGCTGGAGTGCAGTGGCGTGATCTCAGCTCACTGCAACCTCTGCGTTCCAGGTTCAAGCAATTCTCCTGCCCCAGCCTCCCGAGTAGCTGGGATTGCAGCCATGTGCCATTATGCTCAGCTAATTTTTGTATTTTTAGTGGAGACAGGGTTTTGCCATGTTGGCCAGGCTGGTCTTGAACTCCCGGCTTCAAGCAATCCGCCCGCCTTAGCCTCCCAAAGTGCTGGGATTACAGGTGTGGGCCACTGCGCCCAGACCTTGGTACACATTTTAAATATCTTTTGTTTTTGCAGAATAACAACAAGGAAAGAGACAAATTATCTACCACTAAGTGAAAATTAAGGTTATATTTATAGTATATATGGTCAAATTCTATTTTTTGTGGGAAAAATATAAGCATAGGAAAAAAAATCCAGAAGGATGTATCACAAAATACTAAACCATGGGCTCCCTGGGAGAACTATAGGTAGCATTCTTTTCTTTTTTACTTGTTATCATTTTTAGATTCTATAATGAGCAGGTTATCCTTATATGATGTGAAATATATAAATCAGAGGAAAAAAAAAAAGAAACACACACACTTATCCACCAGGGTACTGTTTATGCTTTGGGTAACTAATTGGTTTGGAGAGAAATTATTTTTAAAATTCTAAGCAGCTGATGAGAACAGAAAAACAAGTAAAGAGCAGCACCCTGACCAACCTCAGGCACGTTGCAGCTGACCAGTGGGTTATGACCACACAAACACAAGCTGAGGAAGCACAAAGTGCAACATGCCCAACCAAGCAGCTGTGAAGATGACTTCATGTGTGTTTACCTGTGGAGTGTTTTTACATACCCCCAGCCTGGTTCCATAAAGGGTGAGGAGACATGAAGAAAAGAAAGTAGTGAAATATAAACATTAAAATCAGGAGCAGAGAAAACCCAAATCTGAAGAAAAACATCTCAACCAGCAAGGAAGTAAAACTTCACATAAGTAGGTCATTGAGTCTGCACACAGCTGGTAGAGAAGGGCTGTGCCTTTAGTGCTGGGCCTCCTGGTGGCCAAAGAAAAATGGGAAATGAAGCTACTCCAACCTCAATGTCCATAAGGGGGCACACATAGCAGCCGTTTGCGGGAAGCTCATCCTTTTTTGTTTTTTTTGATTCGGAGTTTTGCTGTTGTTGCCCAGGCTGGAGTGCAGTGGCACGATCTTGACTCACCGCAACCTCCGCCTCCCAGGTTCAAGTGATTCTCCTGCCTCAGCCTCCCGAGTAGCTGGGATTATAGGCATGTGTCACCATGCCCGGCAAATTCTGTATTTTTAGTAGAGACGGGGTTTCTCCATGTTGGTCAGGCTAGTCTCAAACTCCTGATCTCAGGTGATCCGCCTGCCTCGGCCTCCCAAATTGCTGGAATTACAGACATGAGCCACCATGCCCAGCAGCTCAGCCTCTTTTTTTTTTTTTGAGATGGAGTTTCGTTCTTGTTGCCCAGGCTGGAGTGCAATGGTGTAACCTGCACTTCTCAGGTTCAAGCGATTCTCCTGCCTCAGGCTCCCAAGGAGCTGGGATTACAGGTGCCCACCGCCATGCCTGGCTAATTTTTAGTAAAGACAGGGTTTCACCATGTTGCTGGTCTCGTGATTTCAGGTGATCTGCCCGCCTTAGCCTCCCAAAATGCTAGGATTATGGGTGTGAGCCACTGCGCCCAGCTGAAGCTCAGCTTTACACCTGGCAGCAAACGAGGAAGGAAGCCCTCGGGTGGGGGTGACACTAGTCAACAGGAAGACGGGGGTCGGGTGGCTGAGCCACCGCACCCGGCCCTCAAGTAGGCACTTCTGTCAGGCAGCAGAGACATCATCTCACTGAGCTGTACATTCTCATACATGTCACAGGAGGAATGAGACATACAAAGATCACAGGAGTCTCATGAGGAGTGAGACCAGGACAAACAGACACTGTGGTCCCTCCTCATCTTTTGGATTTTTCCAGAGTTACCTGGAAACGAGGGCTGGTTCAGATAAGCTGGTTGCCCATGCTTATCTACCTGCAGAAGAGCCACCTGGGCGGGCCCTGTAAGTCTGGGCAGCAGACCGCCCTTGGAATCTGTCCAGACACAGAAATGCCAAGGATCAGAGATAAGCCTCAGTCCCAGGTGGCAGCTCAACCCCACTTACGACTGGAAGAAGGGGTGGAAACCTGCCTCGGGCACTATAGACAGAGTGCAGCCCTGCAGACCAGCCAGCCCCTGGTTCAGCCCAGGCCTCCAGCCCTCTAGCCATGCGGGGAGTAGAGTGAATGGAATGACAAAGGGACAGAAAGTGGAATGTGCCTTGGAGAGTGAAGGGCCCCTTAACCAGGCTTTCTCCTTCTGGGGCTTCCCTTCCATACTTGCCCTCCTCTCTCTGCCCTGAGACTCAGACTGAAAGCCATGGTGTGCAGAGTAGAGTTAGAGACCTGGGTTCAAAGCCATCCTCCACCACTTACTAGCTGTGTGCCACCAGGACACGCCACTTAACCTCTCAAAGCCCCATTTTCCTTATCTGTAAAATGGGGAAAATAATAACACTTTGCTTCATGGGGTTGTTATTAGAAAAAATTAGATTACGTATGTAAATAATAATATACGTAATAACCCACATTTACTGAGACAGCTTTGCTCAAAACAATGTTGCATATGGTTTGCAGCGTGGCATGGTGTCTGGCACACGACCAACACTCAATGAGTGACTCAAAAACAAAATCCAAAAACCCCGCAGGAAAATCCAGCCTGGTGAGAGCTGCCAGAGGGGCAGGGCTCCTTGGGGGAGCTGGGCCTCCCTCATCCACGGGGTTCACGAACTTAGCCTGGGAGATTCTAACTTAGGCACACACCTGGTCATATGAGGGTGTCAAGGCCAAAGCCAGAGAGCATCAGCTCAGAAACAGAGACCTGTGTGGCACAGGCTCATGTTGTGGGTGCGAGCTGGTATGTGCTCAGTGTGAGTGGTGTTACTGTCTAAGGGCCCAGGTGCTTGGGTCACCTCCAGAGTGACTGCAGACATCTGTGCAGGGCCCTGCCTAAGCTTGCCTGTGGGGTGTGTGTGTGTGTGTGTGTGTGTGTGTGTGTGTGTGTGTGTACACGGTACCACAGGGCTTGTCCACGCTTGCGCACTCACTCCTAGGTGCTCTTTGTGCAGGGGTGACGGGAAGGGGGTGTTTCTGCACTTTACTTCCTGCGAGGGACTGGTGCACCTTGGGGTCAGTCTTAGCTTTTATGCTCTCCGTTGTGCCAAAGAGCGTCTCGCTCGCTGTCCTGGGCTGCCTGTGCTGCTCGGACATCCTCCAAATCCATCTATCCAGTGGG